CCTATTAAGGATTAGAGGGCAGATTAGGAGTAAAGTACAGCTTGAAAATATTGAGTTATTTCTGCTGAGTGGCTTCATTATTGACCTACAATACAAGGCATGAACATGATGTAATGTGACAGAAGTTAAGAAATACACTGAGCTCAATTTTGAAGGCTATAACCTTCCAAGTTACTACCATGAAGAGCAGTGTTCACACCCATTTTGAATGTATTATCCTTGCTGAATACTTTGGAACTTTTTTGTAGGAACTGCCAGCCAGTGGTCTAAGGGCCAGAAGGTCTTCAGTGGTAGTAAATCTTTGTACTTTACAGGCAAACTTTTATTTTTTAGAAAAGAAGAGGCATTTAGTACGAAATCTAGTAAATTAGAATTATCTGAAAAACATGTTTTTAAACAAAATTTTTTAAAAATTGATTCTATTTTAAATGGAATTGTTTTTTATTTTTTGGATCATTCATTGATAATATATACAAATACAATTCATTTTTATGTATTAATCTTACATCATGCCACTTTGAACTCATTTATTAGCTCAATGGTGTGTGTGTGTGTGTGTGTGTGTGCACGTGTGTGCATGTGTGTGTGTGTTTCTTAGGATTTTCTATATGTAAGATCATATATCATCTGTGAATAGAAATAGTTTTATTTCTTCCTTTCTAATTTGAATACTATTTCTTTTTCTTGCCTAATTGCCCTGGATATAACCTCTATGTTGAAGAGAAGTAGGAAGAGTGAGCATCCTTGTAAGTCCTCATCTTAGGGGGAAAACTTTCAGTCTTTCACTATTGAGTATAATGCTAGCTGTGGGTTTTCTGTTTTGTTTTGTTTTGTTTATTTATATCGAAAAAATAACTCTTAAAAATGAATTACAGAAATCTAAGCAGAAATTTGATTAAGGACATGAGCTGATAAGTCACACACCCCTAAAAACACAAGTGGCTGACAGGTATATTCTATGATGTGGTTGCGGGTGGGGGCGTGGCTGGCCCTCAGCCCCTGATACAGTTTGGATGTGTTGTCTCCCCAAAACTCATGTG